CCCTGGGGCCAGCCTCCCCCAGCACATCAAACCTGTGCCAAGCCTTCAGCTGATTTAAACTGGCACAGCTTTATTAGTCAGCTCTCTACGCCTACAGCTCCTACAGCTGGCCTCCTGCATGACAGCAGTCTTCTCAAGTTGGTTAAAACGTACTTCCAAGCAGCGCGTGTTGCTTTGAGAGGCCATGCCAAAGACGGCTGTTTTTGCAGCAATCTCTCCTCTGTTACTCTATATTAAATTGCAATAGTACTTCACAGTCCCAGTCATAAGCCAGCACACGCTGTGTTAAGGACCACGCATAAAGGCTATCTCCAAAGAAACCCTACTTCCAAACACCTCACAATGTGCCAGGAGATAAGTTTTCTTACAAATACAAACCTGATGGTCTTTTGCTCCTGATAATAAACTAACCTACTGTGTCAAAACCTCTCATTTGCCAATCTTATTTAACACAAAGAAACACAAAATGAGATATATACTCTTCACAAGTGACACTCCCATTGCAAGTACTCTGCCATGTCTATTGAAATGGCGAACATAGGTTTGATGGACAGATTTCTCCTACCCCATGCACCCACAGCACCTTCCAGGATAAGGCCCAGCAGAAACGAGCCATTCTGTGCTATCCCCAGCAAGTAAGATTACCTGAGTTATGGAAGGTCGCTTTTCTTTTCCTTTTCTTGCCAATGTGTCCAGTCCTTTCAGTGAAGAAAATAAACCCTTCTTATTTCGGACCCTTTGTGACAAAGATAGGGTACGTTTCCTGAGAGCAGCTTCATCCCTGGAGCAGATCTGTTTAAACAGAGAGGCAGGCCTTCCTATATCACTTTCATAACAGGAAAATATTTATTTATTTCAACTTGAGGTACCAAACGAGAGTTACTTCAGTTCACCTCAATGTAATAGGCCAAGGTGTAAGGACAATGTTTTAAACTTTCAGTGGTGATGCTTGTTTTGGTATTCCAGTGGCGGGATAGTGTATGGGGCAAAATTAGAAGGTCATAGGAAGGGAGGAACTGAGAAAATATGCTCTGTACAACAAAACAAGTTAATGAAAAGGCTCTGAAGAATAATGATAACCTACCATTCAGATACGAACTTTCTAGAGGAAGAAAGACTCTCAAAACTGCCAATGTAGGAGACAAACGTCTTATGGCAATGAGTTACTAACAAGGTTAGTAACTGTTTTCGGACCGACTCTTACACAAGGTTAAAGAGCAGAACCTGCTACTGCTGTACTTGCCCTGAAGTCAACAGGGTGACAACACTTCCAAAAAAGATCAGCTCAGCCCAAAGGGACCTGAACCACTTTAGGAAATTTCAGTATTAAGCTCTTTTCATCCTAAGTGACTTAGCTCCTATACACTTTAAACTCTTAACTCTGTGGAGGTGAAATTGCAATGACAAATTTTCAACACAATGCCTCATTTACAGCTGAAGAATATTTTGGTTTGTTTCGGTTTTTTTAGGTATAGGTCAGAAATACCCAATTCTGGAGTCCTTGGAGGCCAAAAAAAACCCCCACCATGGCCATATCCTCATGGCTTCAAAGTCTGTCTCTCTAGAATAAAATTTATTTGCAGCCAAGGAACAGGCAGAAAGGGTAGAAAGGGAACAGGGCCGTCTGAGCAATGCATGTAGGTGCAGCCATGTATTATTCCAGCACAACTCCACATCTAAGTACAATATTAACGATGGCTTTGTGTAACACACCCATGAAAAGCGCATTTAGACTTACCAGTGCATGGAAGGATGAGACAGAGAAAATGCCGAGCCTTCCCAGTGCCAATTTTGAAGGACGACTGGCAGCAGCCAAAAGGCTCTTTGGGTTTGGGAGCTCCCCACCTTGCAAACTAGCTAGGTAACATCGCATTCGGAAAAGGTCCATGTTAAATTTTTCCAGGTTCTGTTCCCATTGCTGGATCTGTTTAGATATAAAAAGGGACAATTAAAAGCGGAAAAATGTCTTTGTGGGCTGCATTGAGAATTCGAGCTCTTCCCCAAACCCATAGTAAATTACTTTCATCTGGTAGTATATGGATTAGATTAGCTATACCCTGCCAAAACACATTCAGTCATATTGTCTTACATCAACCCAAAAGATGGCTTGAAATAAAACAAAGCTGGTGGTCTTAAATGCATACTGACAAGATGAACATACCATGAACTTTGGGTAGTTTGATAGCCACAAAAGCAGTTACATAAAAACACAACCCTGTGGTTCACGAAGGCTTTTCCCCCCACCCCATCCCCCTCTCCTTTTTGGAAATTAGTTTTGTTTCCTTCATTTTTACGAGCTTAGATTGTATAGCTGGCTGGCTGAAAGCAAAGCAGCATAGCTATGCTAATGCACCATGCAAAGCGAAGCAGCTACACTGATAGGTCCTGCTCATTCTTTACTATCATCCTACGGCACCTTTATCTGTAAACAGGAGACAATATTGGCAACACAAGTGCGTGCGGTTCTCTGTCTGACTAACAGGTTAAGTCATGCTTACACACAGGCAAACTGCAAAAATGAACTACATATGCCAAATACAAATCACTGGACCAAAAGCAAGAATGTATACATACCCTTCACGCAATTTTTAAACATATCTAACACAGGTACATGCAAACAGCTTAATCCACTTTCAATGTAAAATTAGGAAAGTGAAGAGACTCAAATATTTACTAGACAAATAAAGTTCTGAATCAAGGCTCAGGTAACAGATTTTAAGTATTTGTGTAGGCACATGCTCATCTACACAAAAATATATTCTTATGCACTGCACAAAAATCAAATTTTGCTTTTCATTTCCCCAACTTACAGATTGGTCGTTGCATCTAAAAATCTTCCCCACAGTTTACAATATACATTAGTACCAATAAATAGTACAAATCAAAAGGTAGCTGTGTTTAATAGAGTAGGCACATTCACACATGGGAAGGCAGAAACACATGTCCATTAGGTTAATGTGCACCAAGTTCAAATACTGAAGATTGTTAAAGTCCCCTGGCAATGCTGATCTTCCAATGTCAGCTCCAATCATTGGATGTTTGTTGTTCAACAGGTGGTTTAGGGCTGAGGAGAAAGTTCATAATGTTTTCTCTAACATGCACTGACTTCATACCTTTCACCGGCACGCCCTGCCTGTCCCTGTGCACACAGGACATTATCACCTTAATGCGGAGATTAGCCAAGGTTGGGACAAGCACCTTTGTGACTTAGAAAACAAGCTGAGAAATATAATAAAAATCTCAGGTGAACTATGACCTGCAGGCACATCTAGAAGCAAAATCAGTTCAGCTTCCTTATAATGCTGCCAAATATCACAAGAACTAAATAAGTATCTTGCCTCTTACTTTGAACAATGATGAAGTAAGCAATGAAAGGGCAAAAAAGGCCCTGTTAAGAAAATGGTGCTAAGGCTTGTGCTACAACTGATAGAGACAATTCCTAGTCTGGCTTCCTTACATATGTGCTCACAAACTGTGGCATCAGTTACACTACGCTTTTGGAAGTAAGAGTTAATCTTATTTGGCAGGTAAGGTGCAGAAAGGGAAGACAATATAACTATTTTGTACATCTGCAAATGCAAAATTGTAACTTACAGTACACTAAAAAAAAAATCTTTCAAGGAATGACTATTAAAAGCAAAAGATAGAATTTACAAAAGCTGATCATGACAGCAATTCTCTAAAGCCCAGAGAAACAGGACAGAGATGTACATATAACAAAGATGCCTCATCTAATCTCTGATCACAGACATTCAAAACATGCATCCTTTGGACTCTAGAAAGAATAATCATTTTTTTTAGGTTTATTCGATCATTGCCCTTTATTTAGCTTTCTTTGTGCTCTTAGACACTCCTCACAGAGCGTTTTTCTGCTTGCCAGTACTTTACACATGGGATGACTCCAATAGATTTTGTGACGAGCTCTTTCTCTGTGTCGACATCCAACTAGAATGAAAACATGGTTGTCAGCTTTTCACAAAGCCAAAAGCTACAAGCTCAGGTGAAGCCTTTTGCTTTGAGATGACACCTCCATGGTGGGTACAGAGCCAAGTCAACTTTGAATAGCTCGGGAACAGAGCAAGGCTTGTTCTGGGCACTGCTGGAGTGAAGCATCCTGTCCCCACTGAGCATGAGCCGAACACAGGCATCCTTGTGTTTCTGAGGCCTTCTTCAAAATCCTCATTAAACATTTGTACTAAGTTGTATTTTAAAATAAAGATAATCTAGGAAGGGGGAGTGGGGTACAACATCAGGACATTTGGAAGAAATAATTAAATTACAGTGTTTATCAGTCACGCAGGATGCTAGCTAATCAGCTCCAAAAGCATTGGTAATCACGATGTTACATTTAATGGCATTAGCAAGAGCTGTAGGCAGGGAATTTCTGGGATTGTCTTGTAGTCTTATCAAACCCGGGATGTCTGGAACCAATTGAAGACCATGAACCAATACCAGCTGGTATTTGTCTAAGCCTTTTAAACGATGATAATTCTTCCTAAAGATTTATATTCTTGAAGACTAAACGGGGGAAGCACACAAATAAAAAAGCAACAACTTCAAAGCACAGTATGACCTGGTCCATGAAGTTAATTTACAGCCTGCAGACTAGCTGCTGCAACCCTTATTCTGCTATTGTGTGAGGCAAATCTCTGCCCCACGTGTGGGAGGACTGCCCAAAAGACAGCTCAAGGACTTAACTTCATTATGCACAGACAAAACGGCCCTTTTGAAATCTGCTCGAAAGCAAACGGGAAAAAGCGGATGCGCCAGAGAGCCGTGAGAGCATGAATGGGTGACAAAGGCTAACAGCAGCATGGAGCGAGTCTGCAAAGAGAGAAGAGGCACACCAAAACAAGTGAGCACACATGAAACACTCCCCGTGTGACCTGCTCAGCTGCTGCACTTGCCTGCACTGCCAGCTACAGTGCCTGGGGCACCCAACACCATCCTCCGTCAGTCACCGCTTCAAAACCTCCATATGAATTTCCAGGAAAAGCATTAAAGGCTTTTCCTAGAGGAAAGGGAGGATATAACTCTCAGTACAGGCAAATGTTAAGCAAGGATTTCTGGGTTTAGTGGCAGCATAAGAGGGCCTGGGAGAAAGGCAAAGGGTCACCCTAATAAATGTATTCAGCCTAACAGGATCCCTGTAAGGTAGAGAGAAAAAGGAGGTTGTGGCAGAGAGATAGGAAGGAGTAAAACATGGGAAGCCTTAAGAATTAGGGCCATGAATTAGTTCACCTGGGCCACCAGGAGAACTCACACAAAGGAGCCTGGTGCAGGGACAAGACAGTAATTACGTGGGGAGTGCTAAGCGAGGGGATAAGCTTTTGCCTCAGATACTTAGTTCAGGAATGAGTTTTTAGGAGTTAACATACAAAGGAACATCAGCATGGTACTTTTGGCAGTACTTTAGCAGTAAGGATCATTTTCAGAACATAAATAGCCAATTTTCTCCAGGTTAGTGAAAAAAATCTATTCAGACACTAAGAAACAATAGTAAATTAACTACATTTTAAATCACACAAACAAATGAGCTAAAGGAAGATGCTGAAAGCACATCACTCCTAATTCAATAACCCTGCAAGGTTTTCTACAGGCAAACTCTAAAGTGGGAGCTTGGGAAAGGCAAAGGGTAAATATATTCAGACCAGACAATACAGAGGAGAGGTTTCCAGCATGCGACATGGGGATCCATGGTTCCTACAGGCCATACAGTTCTCTCTGCAGGTGACATTCTAGTGGCACCTCCACCTCCACTCAAACATGCTTAGGATTTGAGGACTGTGAAAGTGAGGTTCCCAACAGTCCCAGCAAAGGCAGTGCCAACCGTGTGGCTCAGGGATGGTCCCTGCCTCCTTCTTATACTACAGTGCAGAGTCTTTTGGGAGACTGGGGAAGGACTGTCTCATTTTCAAATACCTGATCAGTACAAAGTAAGAAGAGCTCAGTGTAATAAAACCCAAACCAGTATGTGAATGGCAGAAAGCAGTGCCAAAAATGACGCTGTATCACCGCGAGGCAGCAATACTTCAAAGACCTCAAGGAAAGACAGAAGAAACTTCCTGGACAGCTAACCTGGTAAGAAAATACCAGCTTTCCACCTGGCACTCATTTAAGGCAGCACAAAAGAGAAGATGCACAGGGACAAGGGCCTTCTATTAGTGTTTAAGCCTTTAAAGCTGATTTGATTTAGTAATAGTTCTTATACCACATAGAAGCATGAGCTCCTCGCTGACACAATTCACTATCTATAGCAGTAAAAAATTCAGAATTTTCCCCTATGCAACATCTTCTTCACAGATGGGTCATGTCTCTGCAAGCTAATGTAGGGAAGTCTATGGATTTAAAAGAAACTTCTGCTGCTGTTTTATATGAACAGCTTTTCAACCACATTACAAACACCACCAAACTCTTTGCATTCCAGTCCCTGGTTCTCAGACACAATTCATATTGTACCCATCTGGATAAATGAGTCACTTGCTTTCTGGGGACAAGGAAAAGATTTTTATTGTCATTACTTCCTAAAGACAACTCAAAGAAGCAAAAACATCACTCTCCCAGAAATTCCATTACTTTACAGGACACTACAGAGATACCGTCATAACTTTTAGCTCAAAGAAATAAAAAAGGGAACTTAATCGAGTACAACAACAATGATGCGCAATTAGCAATACCCTTTATTCTTTGTTCTGCCTTGTGACTTAAAACCAGCCAAGAACACTTCCTGAAATAACAGGACAGCAGCTTTTTTAATTATTATTATTTTTTAAAACATTAAATGCCATCTTTCTGCTTGTTTTGGAAGGACAGAATTTTCATCATTTTTAACCAAAACCGACAGAGGAAGTCTTATTCCCAATACCACTGACAGCACAAAAGTGCACCCATGTGTACCAAATTTACATTCTTGTCAATAATCTG